GGTTAAAATTAAAAAGTCAATGCCACGAGCGGGATTCGAACCCACGATCTTCGGCTAAATACGGCGCTGCTCTAGCACTTGAAATATCGTGACTTGGACCCACTCCGGACGCTAACTTCCAACCTCAACCAAGCTCCTCCTATCGTGGGTTCGAATCTCGATCGTGACACTAACTTTTTCATTGCATCCTTTACATAAAAAAATTAATTTATTGAAAGAAGTAATTTGGTCAATAGACCACCAAATATAATGGATTTAATAAATTTTTAAGTTATGTTAAAATTTGTTAGCCGAAGGTCGTGGGTTCAAATCCCGTCCGTGACACTAACGTTTTCATTCCAACCAATACCTTACATAAAGGTTAATTAATTGAAAGATGTCATTTGGCAATCGGACCACGAAAATTAATGGATTTAATAGGTTAAATGAAGTATATATTCACTAAAGCTCTCCGTGGCCAGTTCATTTGTAGCCGAGAATCAAGAGATCACACGACATTTGAAAAATGGGAAAAAGGAGGGAAAATTCGAAAGGTTGGGTAGAGGTGGGAAGTTAGTGTCCGAGTGGATCGAAGTCACGTTAGCTCAAGTGGTAGAGCAGCGGCGTATTCAGCCAAGGTCGTGGGTTAGAATCCCGCTCTTGACACTGACTTTTTTATCTCAACTACAAACCTTAATTAACTGAATGATATTAATTGGTCAAGCGGACCACGAAATACAATGGATTTATTATTTAAGTTAATTTTTTCCCTAATGTTAATTGTTATAGTTTTAGTTTTTGATACCAAAAGTCTATAGGAGTTAGAGACAACAAAGCTTATTCTAGCCAACTTTCCATCAATAGCTAGAAAAAAAAAGTACGGTAATTAGAAAATCAATGTTAAGCAATGTAGACCCCGATACCACATAATCGAGAAGAATTCTTTACTTGATGAAACAAACTAAAATCTTCTAAGAAAACTTTCAGCAGAAGTTGGAAATAATTGTTTAAACTGGGTAATTCACTACTACGTCAAAATGAAAAAATCAAACGAAGGAAAAAAATTGTTTATCTTGTTTTTTAATGTAAATGAATACAGTGCGTAATTTGAATCAAGACGTTTCAATGAGGAGAAAACCGGTTCTATGTACCATCGACTAATTAACTTCGATCTTCTACTACGTCAGTCAACAACTAGGACGGGTCTTACAGGCAAGTTTAACACTTGCTGAGCCTACGACAGCCAGTTTGAAAACAAAAGCTTTCAGACAAATAGAAGGATGGAGTTTCCTTTCCACTCACCCTTTCTTGTCGAGCGTTCCTTCCGGGCAATGTCCTACTTTCTTCTTAACAAAGTTCAGAAAACAGGCTAAAAAGTGCATGAGAAATTTTTCAACTAGAGACAAGAGTGGTGCTACGGGGGATCAGTAGATAACAATTAAAAATCGTTTCACATCATCCTAGATTAATAAAAAGTAAATAATTTTAAAGGTTCATAAAAAATCATCTTGAAATCTTCAATTACAAGGAAGGACACCTTTAATCATTAATTGAATATATTAATGGTTATAATTTGCAGTATAATGCTGGAATACTCGTACCTTAGACCTATGAGGTCTTTCAATTGCTGTCTTTCAAACTTGGAACCGAGACACGTTGTAACCAAACAACTAAGCCTAAATGTTTTATCTCCTCGTAAATATGGCGTAGTGATGATACTAAACCTTCCAACTGTAGCGGTACTCAGACTAATATGATGATAACAGATTTAGCTAATAGGAATACAAATGCAAGAATGGCACAATTACACAGAAGACAAACACTTTGAGTGAGTAGAAATACTTTGATTGAATAGAAAAAATAATTTTGCATTGTATATATTCACTTTTTTCCTATCTGTATTTGTTAAATGTAAACAATGTTTGTAAATCCCAGTCCGTGAAGATGATCTCAATAAAGATCGAAAATGTTTTTCTGAAACCTACATCACACCAGACCGCATCTCACGATTTATGAATAATACTAGGAATACAGTTTGAGGAATTCAAACACACAGGACAAAAGTGGTTCCTCCCGCTGAAACTTGGTGGATTTTAGGGTTGGGTAATAATAGGCGTTTGGAATGTATTGAGAAGATGGCGCAGAACTTTCGGAATCGAGATCGGCTCAGTTGGTTGCCAAAAGGATTGTGGTGAATTCTGTGTTTAGAGACGTAATAAAGAGCCTTGACAATTTGTCTGAGGATAAGGAGGATTGGACGCACTGCATATTGGAAGGCTTGACGTACTCCTTGTGTTCTCAGCATGTTCAAGCTGGTTGCAGTAATGTTTTGTTTGTCACGATTGATTTCAGTCCTATGTCTTCCAAGTTGTTAAGCCTACTGTTAAGTAATAGTAAGTTTCTTAAGCCTTGTGTGGGGATTCCATACCACTACACTGTCTACGTACAGTACAACGGACCTGATTCGAATTGAAGCCGTTTCGTTTTTGTTCAATTATCAACGTTTCAGTTGATTGTATGACTGTTTTTGTACTTTTCTTCAGTCTTGTCTTCCACTTTGCACTAGGGATGAGCATCGATGGTCGATGTTCAGAAAACATCGATGGTAGGCTACCGATGTTCGATGTTTTCAACATCGATGTTACTGTGCGATGTTGTTTGGCCACCGATTGTGCTGTCGATTTTTATAAAGTTTTTCTGTTTTTCCTAATTGATCTCGCGGCCATTGTCTCTTCAGCCGGCGAGGAGGGTTCCAGGGTATTCGTCTGGATGCGAGGTTTCTGATGTGCTGATTTACGGTGGTTGGGAGGGTTTTGTGAAATTTGCGGTAACAGGAACGGATTTCATCTTGAATTTAAAAGCTAATATTAAAATTTGTTTGCATGAACGACAGTAATTATACATATTTAATGGATATTAACTTCTTATATACATATGAAAACACTGAAAACAGCAAAACTAGGCAGATCAAGTGATGAACATCGATGGTAGGCGACCGATGTTCGACGTTTTCAACATGATGGTATGTGCGATGTTTTTTGAGCATCAATTTTTGGATGTCGATGTTATATAAACTTTTTCCTAATTTCCAAATTTGTGAATAGGGAATGACCCGTATTCTTCTGATATGAAAGTGGCCTATCAGAACCTGTCAGTTCTTCAATTTTTTGCTTACTGGCACATATGTTCTTTCTGAACGTTTATTTTCCAATCCTGGACAGCTTATTTGGAAAACCAGAAATCGCTTAGAGGGTAAATTGGCTTTTAATCTGCGTTTTTCTAATTGCATTCCGTAGAAGTTGTGGTAGTGTTTCATTGTAAAATTTGGAGACATTAATTCTAATAAATTAAGGATATGGTTGATTTTAGTTACGTACGTGTTAAATCATTACCTTTTTTTAAGCAAGGGACGGAATGGGCTTGGGTATATTATGGAATTTTTTCCAAAGTATCGAAGAAAAACAGCTAGGTATTTTGAATAAAATTCACAGGCACAAAATACTTTCACAATAGACATCTTTTATTTAAAAGGGACCGAGATATCTATATACAACTATAGATGAAGCCAAAGGCAAAAATAATTCCTAATAGATTTTATTACCCAAATAAACATAATTTATTAATTTTAATTAATTAAACTTTAAGTAAGGTATTGGGTGACATAAAAAGATTAATTAATTGAATAGATTTATTTGGTCAATCGGACCACGAAACCTAATTGATTTAATAATTTATTAATCAAGTTCCTAATAAAGGTTCAGAAATGGCGAAGTTTGGAAAATTCGCTCATGTTTCTAAAGTTGCACATAAAAATAATGTATGCGTATGAAAATAATTCATGGTTTGAGTAATGAATTCTCAAAAAACCATCGATGTGAAGTCTACAGAGTCGATGGTCATACCACAATCGATGATGAAGTTCCGATGTTTAATCGATAGTTCGTTGTTTTTATCGATGCTCATCCCTAATTTGTACCACTGATAAACTCAAGGTATTCTTGAATGTTGGATATCGTTTGGATAAGATGCAGGTTAGAAGAGAAGTTTGCAATACCATACGGACATTTTGGTAATGATGTTATTGGGAATATAGTTAGCACTGTTATAAAAGTATATATGACAATGACGGGACTAAAAATATTTTGTTGAGGGACGCATGCATAGTCTAACACCGGGACCTCACTCTGAAGCTACGGTCAGTAAGCTAAGTAACACAGGCCCAGGATAAAGATATAAAGATTCGGTAGAAATCGTTCATGTTTATAAATTCACTAGTTTTCGTGGTCCGCTTGATCAATTAATATCTTTTAATTAATTAAGGTTTTTACTTGAGGTAAAAAAGTCAGTGTCACGAGCACGATTCTCAACCCCATCTTTTGAAAACTGGCAAAAAAGGAGGTCGAGGTCATTCAAAAGTGGGGTTGAGATGGGAATTTAGTGTCCGAATGGATCGAGGTCACGATAGCTCAAGTGGTAGAGCAGGGAAGTAGTGAGCCGAAGATCGTGGGTTCGATCCCGCTCGTGACACTGGCTTTTTTATCTCAACTAAAACCTTAATTAATTAAAACATGTTTATAAAGTATTCCGGGGTACCAGATCTTCTTTTAACGCCAGTATTTCCGAAGTAGATAGACGAATTAACCACTTTACATTAATTTTGAATAATCAGTATCTCGGTATGGCTTTTGCAATAAATGGCCCATTATAGACAACGTGTAAAATGTGATTCTGGTTCAATTATATACCAGAAATAATTATTTTACGCCAAATTCACTACATTTTAATTTTATTTTAGCATTTTTTCCTCTTATTATATCTAAATTTGTTATTATCGAGGCAGAAAAGACTAAATGTATTTGCTTAATATTTCTTCTTTGGACTAGGAACTATGGTTAATAACTACCTACTATTTTAATGTTACTCATTAACATAAATTTCTACAGATAAAAATAAAATGCGCTTTTCTAATAGTTGATGTTTTTTTTAAATCATTAAAATGTCAAATCATTTAGAAAAATTACCTGATACCCTGAGTCGCCGTCGGAGGAAGAGCCCCATCGGGCGAGTTTCGCACCTTGTCGAGACCCATTCACCACTCATGAAAGGATGGAGTCGCGGTGGTGCTGTCAGAATGGGCGGTGCCCGATTGCTGGATCTTTCGATCTGTAGGCAAACCTCGCATTCAGCAATCTGAAACAATAATAATAAAGCCGAAATTACTTCAAAGTGATTGGCAAGTTTAGTAATGAAAAGGAATCTTTAGATTTCTATTTCAACGTTTTCAACTGTGCTACTGGGCTAATTAAAGAGAACCTTTTAGTCTTAAAGGGAAATAATGGCCTAAAAGAGTCAGGCTGTTTTTGTTCAAGTTTGAAATGTTCAAAGGAATATTAGTGATTAATCGGGCACTCTAATTTAAGACGTAATTTTAAGCTCAGTGAAAGAAAAACACAAGCAAAAACTCCAAAATATCAAAGCAACATGGTCTGACGAAAAGGAGAGAAATGCAAAGACGTGGGCAAAGAATAGAAACTCGTTTTGATAAAATAAAAGAAAAATTGAATACTGAAACGGCACGAAGTAATTATAATTATGATTACATTTATTACTAATCTTATTTCTTGTTTTTTTTGTATAAAGGCAGGTTTGTAACAAACATTTGTTTATATTTAAATCTCTCCAATATGGTAAAGAGAGAAAGTTCATTTGAATGTAAAAGATAATCTCGTAACCTACTAGTCTGATTTTGATCAAATATTTTGGACGCGTTCCTTATCATAAAAATGACTTATACATAGTTTTGTCATGTGATTATTTCAGTATCAAGTTAAAATGTGAAATTGTATGTCAATAAATCAAAGCAGTTCAATGTAACTTCATGAGAAAAGTGAAGCAGGAGGAGAAGTGCCCATTATGTCGCACCGGAATACCCAAGTGAATGAAAAATTTAAGAAATTCGGAAAAAATTATGGGTGTTGTTACTTTCGTTTTTCCCTGTAATTTTTTTGCCCTTTGTAGATAATTTCAAAAGAATTTCCGGAATTCTCAAAGAATTTCTTGAATAGTATGGGTATTCCCATGTTTGTAAGGTGTTATCTTGAATAGAGAAATGTCGAGAAAGATCGTGACCGCCCCCTTCTTATCATAGCATGTTAAACGTTAATTTTTCAGCACTGCTGCTCGTGCCGATTCGTAGTACCAAAAATAAAGCTATAATAGTCCTTGAAGGTTTGTTGTTGTTTGTTATGGTTTTGTTTTGTGTTAAATTGTAAGATGCCAAAGTTAATAAAAAAGAAAAATTAATCAACACTTTCAATCAAAATGCTATATATGCACTCGAAAAGTACTAACAAATGACAAGCTTCAATTCGTACCGACATACCTAACTTGTATCCTAACGAATAACAGCCTACAAAAATTTCGGGTATGGAATGTATCTATTATGACTGAGAGTATAAGCACAGGTCACAAAATTAACAAAAGAAATGTATTGGTCTGATTTAATTAATGCGTATATAAGAATAAAAATATATGTGCAAACAAAAAACAGCTGTTAAATTCATGGCTGCCATGTTGGTTACCTACGCTCTGACGGATAGCAATATGACTATATTTTCGACCTAACATCCAACATTGGCCTTGGCCTGCTAGATCGAGCAATGTTAACTGGCCGATTCTTACATGTCTACGTCATCATTTTTCTCGATCTAACAGGACTTAACAGAGTTAAATTCAGGGGGGATTCCAAAAATTCCAACGGATTTGCCTTTTATATTTAAAACATTACCATTCCATTTTAAACTATCTTTCGCTAAACCGATTTATAAATAACCAGGACAAAGGTGTAAATAAGAGGGAAGAATGTTTTAGATAGAAGAATGATAGCAGACGGTGATCAAAAAATGTGTAATAAACCAAATGTGAATCAATAAATAAAGTTTCGATAGAAATGATAAATTTGCTATTATTCAAATTTTCGTACTACCCGAGCGAGACCGGGGAACGGTTAATGTTACATATGTGTATAAAAAAAGTTCCAGGAAGCAATTCGAATCGTCAGGACAACGCCCTCGTCTGTAAATGTGGATCTAAGCCACTTCCGGCCAAGGATTGTCTGTAAATGTGGAACGCCTTGGCCGTTCGAACCTTATTTCCGGAAGAAGGCAATCTCATTATGTTAGTATTGTGGCATTGGATAAAAGGAAGCACAGTTAAAAAGAAATAAGAGGTTCAATTGGAAATTCTTTTCGACCCTCTCAAAGACGGTATTCGAGACGCTACATGGCACACATGGCAAAGGAAAAATAATGCGCAATGAAAACAAAACAAGGTCGTTACAGCGTAAATACGAATATACTGTAACAAAGACAATTGACTTAGCAGCCAATAAATAAAGAATGGATGCAGCTCCTAACAAACCACAGGTTTTTGCGCAAAAAGCTGCAAAACCTAAAAGAAAAATACCAAAATTTGCATTTACACTGTTAGGAATTTTAAAAGTATTTAATCTTTTGAAAAAACAGGCCACATTATACCAATTAATTAATCGTTTTTTGTAAGGTTCATGGTTTAAATTCAAAAGCTTGTGCCACGAGTGGGATTCGAACCCACGACCTTCGGCTAAATATCCAGAACAACGCCTCATCTCAACCAACAACCGTTCGACTTTTCCCTTTTTTTGGCCGTTTTTCAAATGTCTTGTAATGAGGCGACATATGAAGTGGTCACGGGGACCTGTTAGTGAAGTCATAATTCGTTTTTCTTAGTAAATCCATTATATTTAGTGGTGTATTGATCAAATTACTTCTTAAATTAATTAATCTTTTCATGCAAGGTTTTTGGTTGAAATGGAGTTCAACGAGTGAGCGGATCGAAGTAACGATAGCTCAAGCGGTAGAGCAGCGTCGTATTTAGCTGAAGGTCTTGGGTACGAATCCCGCTCCGGTACTAGCTTTTTCATTTCATCCAAAAACATAACTGAAAAAGAATAATTAATTAAAATAAGTAATTTGATCAATAGACCACTAAATATAATGGAGGTTGCATTATGTTCACTTATTTTTTAATACAAAACGGTAAAAAGCATATAGACAATCTCAAATATGTATTATGTCAAAAATTGGAAAAGATTTTTTAAACAGATTTTTGGATTTAATTTCATCAGTTGTCTGTCAGTGAACAAAATTGCTAAAAATTAGATCAAAAGGACTGAGAAGGTGTACATGACCAAATAAATGAACGAAAAAACAAAATAATGAAGAGAGAAAACAAAAATAAAATAAAATGTAATTAATTGAAATAAAGATAAAATAGAAATTAAAAATACCATAATTGCCGTCATTTTTACAGTATTTAATTTTTTGAAATCACAATAAGAATTACATTTTTTTAAATTAATTTTTGATTATAAAGAAACCTAAAAACAGCATTTAAAGTCATACGTACAAGAACATTTTAAAAACAATTGTTTACATTATAGAACCTGAAAAATGTCATATAGTTGATTGGTATTAAATCTAAAAGGTTTAGAAAGAATATTTCTCAAAAAAGAATTTTGAGTTGGGATTAATGGATTTAAGTAACAATGACTGGTTCCACCCCATGTACCAATACTTAACTATATAAAACTATACATAATACTAAATATTAAAGTAGTTTTTTATATAATAATATATATAATACTATGTATAATGGGGGCCGTGGTAGCCGAGTGGTTAAGGCGTCAGACTTTCGGTTAGTCGATCCCGCGGTCGTAGGTTCGATCCCCACCGTCACCTCTAGACTTTTTCTGCCGCTTAAGGGGACCGGTGGCAGCAATTGAATGAAATTGACACGGCACTCATCAATGGAAGGAGCGGGATCGGATTTCAGCGACCCTGAATTTGGTCCCAACCCCCTTCAAAAATGAATTTTTTCGATGGAAGAACACAGGTACAACGGGGGCTCAAGTTCACTTTTGTTTTGCGAGCCCCCCCCCAATATGGAAATATGGAGCCAGGAATAAAGTTCAATAAGCTGTACAGCTCAGCCGTAGTGCTCAGGAGGGAACTCCTCCAGTCCCTGTTATTAAAAAAAAGTATAATAATAAATGTTATATAAAATAATAACTATATAAAAAAATAAAGAAAAGATAAACTTAAGTTCCTCTTTCATCGGACCAGACAGATCTGACCATAGTGCTGAAGAACGGTGGGTCTTTGGAATATTATTATATAGGATTAATAGTAATATCAAGACGCTGTTAGGAAATCATGAGCTAAGAGGTTTTGAATTATGGATGTTGCAAATAATTGTGTTTAAAATCTTGAATCTATTTTAAGGAGGGATTTGAATTTGATGCTTTTAGGATTGATGTTGATTAAAAACAAATCCCCCATTATCGTTTTAATCAAAGAAAATTAAAATAACATTTTTTCTCTAAACAAAAATATTTGGTAGTGAGGTTCATTTGAATAGTTTGAATTACCCTTTCTGCGACTAGGTGTTGTTTTAAAATTTGGCCTCAAATGTTTTTTCGACTAATATTTATTAAATCGGAATATTTTAAAAGAAAAAAATGCCTAGAAAATGATAAAAGCAATGGCAAATATTTGTGACATGATACACAATGAAAGACTAAATGTATTTTTTTTTTATTACATACTGGAAAATAATTTCCTTTGATGGAAGCCCGTGTTATTTTTTGTCGTGTTTATTCGACATTATTCTCTGTTTATTTAAGTCCGTCGAAAATTCAGGTGAAGGCATTTTCCCTCCAGTCGGTTTTACCCCGTTCGACCTCAGTTGGTACAACCTAGCAATTCCACCGTTCCCCTCCTCTTTGCATCCTCATAAACAGTGCTATCAAACATTCTTTTGTTGGGCCGTATCTTCCCTTTTTTCAACAGCACCGCCTTTCCACCCAGGCTTTCATTTTCTCACCAAATCAAAGATGCATTTTCCGATAACTCGTGTTTACGAATTCAATATTCGGTGCGCAAGAAAACGAAACTCGGATTGAATATTGCAGTCGGAACTGTAACGTTATCGCAGACTCCCTTGGGAAAGCCTGGCCAAGATTATAGAATGCAATAGCCATAATTTACGTTTAGATTCTGGTGATACCGTAAAACAAGTTTAATCTTCTTACCTTCGCTTACCAAAAACTAAACCAACAATACACGTTGCTATCTAAGAGTAAGTTTTATCAT